ACCCTCCTGAACACCACCTGGGCCACAGTTCCACATGCAGCATTGAGTGTCCTCCACCACCACTCCTGATCAACCTTTGCAACCCTCTGCACCCTAATACACAAGCAGCATCTTCCCAGATAGGTTTATTCCATACTGCAAGGAGTGTTAGCTGACTCCAAGGAAGAACATGAAGCAAAGCAAAGGGCCAAGACTCTTCTGGGAGTCTTGCTCCAGAAAAGATGTATGTGAACTGGAGGTCCTCAGTCTGGAGGACAGAAGGATTTTGCCTACTGTTAACTTCTTTAGAAGGCTATAAGGGGGACATAGGCCTGGAAACCTCACAGGAAGAAAGTTTCCTAACAGTTTTTGCTATTTCCTGCCATGCAGAAAGCAAGCAGAGCCCAGGTTCTCACTTGGCTTCTTCAGGCCTTCATAGTTGGTACAAACTCAGTTGGACAGGAAAAAGCATTTATCATGCCCAGAACTTCATTCCACCACCCACAGAGGTAATGCAGTTCAAAAAAAGTGATGCAAATTAAGCCAACATTTCACTAAATTGCTTAAAGAAAGAATTAAAAATAGAGAACTAAAACCACTTCTGTCATGACAGGTGTTTATCTCACCTAGCACACTCCTAGTGCACCCTCTTGGACTTGGAGAGGAGCTCAAGCACTCTCCAGCTTGCCAAATAAGATCTGACAGCCTATACTGACTTTTTTCCTGCTTTGAATGTCAACAAAAAAGTTACTTGGATGCCTTAAAAAAAAAAAAAATTTGCAAGGCCAGTGCCTACGCTGCAGTATACTACCTTGTCTGAAGTCAACCAACCAACAGAGAGATGAAGGTACAACTTTCCAACAGACTTAAGTGCAGAAGCATCAGGTCACTATGTCCAAACACCACAGGACAGTGTTATCCAATCCCAGGGCTGTGCCCAAGCCAACGTGCTCCTTCTTTAGCCTGGACATGTCCAGAAACATCATAGAAGAAAGGACTATAATTATGATTTCCAGGTCTACCCAGAGGCAGATGACAGGAATGTTTCATCACCTCACGCAGTCTCATGATGATCTGCAATACACGAGTACTGTGCAGTCATGTAGGGTCAAGCACAGCTTGTTTGTGTTTTTCCAGATTGCCACATACCCAAGGCACCTTGCTGTGAGCCGAGTTTAACCACTGGTGGTGAGGTTCTGCAAAGGGCACAAAGACTGAGCCTCAAGCGCTAAAAGAAAAAAATAATCATAAACAACCGCTGCTGCAGCTCACAGACCAAGCCTGGAGAGCAAAATACAGAGCTAGCAGCCAGAAAATGCGATGACACAAACCACCCTGAGCAAGTCAAGGACTGACCACCTGTAAGGCATCTAGAACATCTGGGGTATGAATCGACTCTGGGTTCATGTATTGATCTACCACCATAATAATTCTAGCCACAGGAGGTGCCTCAAAGTTACATTTGACATATATATTCTCTGGAGAGCATCCTGGAGGCCATCGGATCTGACACCATCCTTCACAAAGGCGGAAGTGTCAGAAAACACAGCACTAATAATGTGAGACTACTCACCATTGGTGCTCCACGGTGACCTATAATGGCTGGCCTTGGTCCCAGAGCCTTCTTCTCCATTATGCAAGGGGACGAGATGGTGAGGGGGACGAGGTAAAGTGCAACTACAACTGCGAGGTATGCAGTGAACATCAGCATCTGAGAAGCTGAGATGGAAAGAGAGATAAAGTGCTGGTGAAAATGATGGTCTTGACTTACTCACACCACAGAACCAAAGCCTAGACACCTTCATCCTCCTCCAGAAAAGAGACTTGTCTACACCCTTTTTCCCTAGTATCACAGCAAGATCTGTAGGAAAAGCATATTCTACTTTAAAAAAAAAAATCTCCCCGAGCTAAAGAAGTCCTGAGGGGGGTTTTCACTTCATTTTATACTGGGGAAACAAGAAGTAAAGCAAATTGCTTTAAGTCCTAGCAACATAGCCCAAAACACTGCTGATTTCCAGTCCTTTGGGTGGGACAGCACCCAATTTTTCCCTGCCTGACAGCAGAAATACATCACCAATTAAACATATCTATAAACAAGCCATGGCACCATGTGGGTGTGTTTAATATCGCTTGTGTTTAAATTGGTGGTTCACCAACACCACCCGTTCCACTTCAACTGCTTCCACATCAAGACCTGTGCCAGCCAGAACTGAGTTCATATACAATAATGTTTTCCTGATTAAGCTGGCCATGTTTAAGTCCTCGGATTGTGATGGTGCTGCACTCCCTGAGGTCTCTGCAAGCAACTATATGACAGGATCAGCAAATGCAGCAGAGGGTGTTGGCTGCAAGGCTTGGGGCAGATGAGCTGTCCTGCCTCCCACGCCATGCCTTGGCTGCCACCTCTGACCACCAATGACTTCTCACAAAGTCCAAAGTCTCTGGGAATCTTTCAAAGGTGCTGACAGCGCAACAGAAACACTCCTTGTACCAACACACATGCGTTCCTTACAAAGGACAACAGGCACCTTTGAACTCCTGAGCTATTTGGAGTCACTTGAAACCACAGATATTAAAGAAAAAGACTTCATTTTTAAATTTTTAAATTATTATTTATTTTTCAAACTCATTAATGCTTTGGAACTTGAGGGAGAACCTCTCCCTCCCAAAAAACCAAACAGCTTTAAAACAAATATTTGCAATGGATGCTAGATGGAGAACGCGGGTATTTTTAGGGGAAGGACAGAACAGCCCAGCCCTAGTCCTGACCACAGCCCATCTGGTTTCACACACTAATAAGCTGCTTATTGCTTCCAGCATCTAATAGCCTCATTCAAACATGTTCCCACAAACCAGAAAGTAACACTAGTAACTTTGCCAGCTAATTTTTCCTCCTCTCTGGAAGAGATGTCCGTCACCCACAGAGCACTCAAGGAACTGAATGGCATCTTGCTAAGTGAGCTCACGCCATGTCCGAGCCATAAAGGTTCAGCGCCCTGGAGTAGTCCATTACCAGCATCAAAGCCTCCAGACAGACACAGGATGTGATCCTGGCCCAATTCTTGCTCACCCCAGAAACACCACACACCAAACATGCTTTTAATTGTCAGCAAAGTCCCAGGTGGTGCAAAGAATCTGGTTCCTTCCTTTCCAATACTGCAGTTTAGGGATTAAACACCTCAGATCGAGACTAAAGGTAAGCACCACATGAAAAACATGGACTAAATTGAAAACAGGTAGATTTAGATTAGATATCATGAAAAAAATTCTTCACAAAGAGGGTGCTGAGGCACTTCTGCCCAGAGAAGTTGTGGATGCCCCATCCCTGGAAGTCTTCAAGGCCAGGCCGGATGAGGCCTTGTGCAGCCTTGTCTGGTGAAAGATGTCCCTGCCCATGGCAGGGGGGTTGGAACTGGATGGTCTTTAAGGTCCCTTCCAACCCAAACCATTCTATGATTCCAAATATTTGTGTCATTGGACTGCACCCACAAGAAAAGGATGCCCCAGTATGGGTCACAGACCATGTGAAATTGGAGCTGAAGACCTCACCCAACCACGGATATGTTGAAACTGAGACCACGCACAAAAAACCTGGAATGAAATATAAGCAAAGCACACGCTGTTCAATTTGAGGTCAGATGGTTTGTGTGGAAGCGGCTCTCCTGGTGACCACCCAAACTAAGCAAGCAGGACAGCCAAATCTCCCATTTTCTACAATGTGACAACATGAATGACAACAGTTGGATGCAAGCCTTTCTTCCCCATTCCTCCTGCTCTTAGGGACCACACCAGCCTAGTTTGAGCTCCTGGAAGAGGGCATTTTTCACACTACTGTTTGCTCTTCCAGGGCTACTTTCTGTCCAGTGTTTTCTGTATGACCTCAGAAGCAAGTTATAAAAACAAGCTACTGCCTTTTAAAACACTGTAGCTGTTCAAGAAACTTCTGTTCTCCAGGTTTGGAACAAGTAGCATGGGAGGAACAAAAACAAACAAAAAAAACCCCAACCAGTTGTAAATCTGTGGAGTAGAAAAGCCAGTTGCCAAAAATTGTCACATGCCTCAAAGAAATTACAAGACTGCTGCACCAATGATTGCAGCTGCACCAGTTATTTCCAAAAGACTGTTATTAGTGAGTAAAATCTTATTTTCCCATTACAAGCAACTGTAGGTTCTCACAGAAGTTTCTTCTCTTCCATTTTTAACAGCACCATGTAAAGCATATCTGCACCAAAAAGCCTGTAAACTCCTCCATGTAAGATGCCTGCCACAAGTAAAATGACCCTGAAATAAATTTAAGATTAAATAGCACAGAAGATACTAATGTTTTTCCTTAAAAAGAAAAAAAAAAATCCAAAACCAAACGACACCTCAGGAGCAGAAACAGAAGCGAAACACCTTCTTGGATTATTAAAAAAACAACATTAAAATTTTAAACAAACAAACAAAACCCCCCATGTTTGCAAGGAACTGAGCTACAAAAGTGTAAGGAATTCAGTAGGAGCACATGCAATCTCAGCTCTAGGCGTAACCACAAATCCTCCCTCAGCTGGCAACCTAATTACATGCTGGGACATATTTAAGAAGAACCAGGTACAGCTTTATTGGCATATTTATAAATTAAGGCAGAGCAATTCTTTCTTTGAAAGGCCTCTCTGGATATCAAAATTTTTCCATCTTCAGACACCATTTCCTCATTCTTAACTCCCGCTTCTTGGAAGTCTTTCGCAAGTGCTGCCAAATCCCTCCAGGGCTTGCATTTTGCTGCAGGTTAAATACCAATTAAAATAATTTTTCTGGAGCTGGCAAAAATGTCTGAGAACATCCATGAACGCCCTGAAGAAAAACACTTCTCAAGGCACAGAAGGACCAAAACATTTCTCAAGAAAACCTGGAGGAACAGCTCGGGCTAGGGAGAGCCCACGGCAATGACGTGGGATGAGGAAGAGCACAGAAGAGGAAAGGAACATCAGCAAGAACTGGGTTCAGCATGTCCTTCACCACTCGCATTTCTTAGACCTTCGACTGCGTTTACGTGCATTGAGGAAGCACCTAACCATCAGAGGACCAGACCTCTACCGAGCCCTCTGTTTGCTACTGCATCACAAGCAGCAAGTCCATGAAGGTTTTCAAAAGCCAGATACACCTAGAAATGCAGGCGAACAAGAGCCAAGGAGCTGGGGGAAGGTAGCAGGTCTTACAAGATCCAGAGAACATCACTGCACGTTCGCTGCAGAGGGTGCAGTCACGTTTTCTAAAGGAGATTGAATCTGGATGCTTTTATTCACTGCATTATTGAAAATAGCTCTTTCACCTCCAACTCTGGCACGCTTCCAATCACAGAGCTTGAAAATAGCTCTTTCACCTCCAACCCTGGCATGCTCCCGATCTCAGAGGAGCATCTGTGGAATCTGGATGCATCCCCAGACCAGATTTACCCACTCCAGTTTCAGCCAGGTTACTCTAAGAAAACATCCACCTCCCCACTGTGGCTGAGCTGGAGGAGGTTGAGCCCTGGGAAGGAACCAGTACTGCCTCCTGCCAGCTGGTTCCCAACGGGAGGACCCAACCCCGGGACAGTCACCAACCAGCCCCTGACCACCATGCAAGGACACGATTGGTACTCACTGGCTTTCTCCGTTCGTGCAAACTGCCCCGCTATCAACCACGACAGGGCTGTGACCGCCACCAGCGCTCCTATGTGCAAGAAAGGGGCTGTGGCCTGCAGGACATAAGGAGAGAAAAAGTGATTACAAACACCTCAGCACCTTGCAAATTCATTGATCTTGCAGGCTCCATAGTGCATCAGACCACTCTGTTTCCAATCAGGTTTTGCACCATTCCTACATCAAGGTCTTGCATCTCTTTTGGCCATTTCTTCTTCCTAGTGTTGCCTTTGGCATTCAGGCCACTATGAGGTCAAAGCAGGAAAGCTCTAACCCCCTTTTTCACAGAATCATAGAATGGTTTGGGTTGGAAGAGACCTTAAAGATCATCTAATTCCACCCCCCTGCGATGGGTAGGGACACCTTCCACTAGACCAGGTTGCTCCAAGCCTCATCCAGCCTGGCCTTGGACACTTCCAGGGATGGGGCATCCACAGCTTCTCTGGGCAACCTGTTCCAGTGCCTCCTCACCTTCTCCAGGAAGAATTTCTTCCCAATGTCCAACCTAAATCTCCCTTCTTTCCCTCTGATTCGGGGAGACCCCCTCTGCAGTTCTGCCTCCAGCTCTGGGGCCCCCAGCAGCAGCAGGACACAGAACTGTCGGAGCGAGTCCAGGGGAGGCCAGAGAGATGCTCCAAGGGCTGCAGCCCTTCTGCCATGGGAACAAGCTGGGAGAGTTGGGGGTGTTCAGCCTGGAGAAGGGAAGGTTCCAGGGCAACGTTATAGCACCTTCCAGTGCCTGAAGAGGCCAACCAAAAAGACAGGGACAGACTTTTTAGCAGGGCCTGTAGCAATAGGACAAGGGTTAATGGTTTAAACTAAAAGAGAGGACATTCAGACTAAATTTAAGGATGAAATTTTTTTTACAATAAGGGTGGTGAGGCACTGGCACATGTTGCCCAGAGAGGTTAGAGATGCCCCATACCTGGAAACATTCAAGGTCAGGCTGGAGGGGCTCTGAGCAACCTGGTCTAGTGGAAGATGCCACTGGTCATGCCAGGGGGATTGGACCAGATGACCTTTAAAGGTCCATTCCAACACAAATTATTCTGTGACTCTAGGAACACACCAGACTCTGTATCACCACAAGAGAAAGTCTGAGATGGATCCTCTGAGTCATGCTTTTGTTCTCCAATTGCCTGCTTATATCTTTAAAAATGATGAAAAGGGAAGTACTTCTGAGAAATGTTAGTCACTTGTGTGAATGTTATTTTTTCCCCCCTTGTATTTGCGTATATTTGCGTACTTCCAAACATACAGCAGTGACCCCAGTAAAATCTCTCAAGCCTTTCATGGACAATTTTTTTTTAACCCTTTTTTTGAGGAAGAGGAAAAAAATAAATAGAGAGCAGGTCTATCAACAGTTTGTAACTATCTTCCTCTAACACTCATATAGCCCTGCAGCATACAAGTCTTTATTAAAATAGGACCGGAGTACAGAAGTTGAATTCTTTTTAGATATGCATAAATTTACATGCAATATAAAAAGAAACCCAGAGTACTCCTCCCAGAAGAGGAGAACTGGGTTCTCCTGGGAACTAGAACTCTCCTAGAACTGGGAAGAGTGTGATGCTTTAGGCCTGGGCACTAACATCCAGAGCATTCCTAGTCAAATCAAGTGGAGGAATTGCTCTCTCCACCCAGCAACTGAGTCACATTTAGCTTCAGTATTTTCCACCTCTAACGCTGCAGCCAAATCCTGGTTAGACTCTAAACTACAGAGCCAAGGAGATGGAGACAAAGTGGTTGTCTTCAAAGCCAGGCTGGATGAGCCTTGGAGCAACCTGGTCTAGTGGAAGGTGTCCCTGCCCACGGGAGGGGGGTTGGAACTCGATGATCTTTAAGGTCCCTTCCAACCCAAACCATCCTATGATTCTATGATACGGTGACCTTGAGGGCTCCATGGGAGTTTTGCTGCTCATCACCAAGATTTCAATTCTGGGAGTGATAAACATCCAGTAATGGTTTTATACAACAGACAGACAAACTCCATGACATGTAGCTGCACTGACCCCTTTCTCCACTCAGAGAAACATCCCGTAGACAACTTACTTGCAGTGAAATAAATACCATCTCCCATTCGTCATCCCAAAGCTGTGCTATCGATGACATGGTCACCACGGTAGTTACCAAGGTTGTCATCAGGCCAATCTGCAAAAAATGAAAGTATTTACACACTGGAGCCTATCATTACTATAGAAGTTATACAGATTGGGAAACAGAGAAAAAAATGTTTTACGCAATAAATGGCCTAAAACAACTACCCTTAGGACCCAAAGGCAAGAGGTTGGGCTTGTGTGCTGTCCCAGTATAACCTCCCCTTTCCATCACTGAAGACAACGCTGAGCTAGATAGTCCTAGGAGGGCACATCTCATGGAAGATCTTTCCCTTTCCTCACACAGTGGCCCATGGTATGGAAAGATCAGGTGATTTGCCTTGACAACAAACTGGATCAGAAACAGCTTAAATACATATTGGGTTCTGCCAGGCAACTTCAGATGATGATCCCGTATTCCCCTGGTCCTGCTGCAACAGCCTGTGATGCACCAGTGCTACGGGAGGTTCGTGAACTTCGCTCAAGTTGACTCTCCAATGCTTCTGTTCAGGGATAAAACTTGAACACACCCAACAGACAACAAACATTGAACATCTCAGTAAAGGGTGAACATCCTGTGCATCCTTATCACTAAGCAACCATCTCTGAGGTGGTTCAGCACAACTTTGTTCAGGGATGTGACTGAACCTGGGTCTGAAATGGCAACAACTGTGCAGTCAGCATCCAAGCCATGTCATCTGAGCAGTTACAAAGGATATTGCAGCTTGAGAAAAGGCTCTGCATGACTGGCTAAACCGAGATGGCAGAGTAAGACCCAATCCACCAGTCACTTCCTCTAGCCTCCCTGTCCCTCCACATGGAAGCACTCAGAAGTCTGAGCAGAGCAGTCAAAAAGAAAATGTCACCTCCATTTTGAAGGTTAAAAGTTCAAATCATCAGAAACTGCCATAGAAATACCTCTATCTGTAAAGACCTAAAATCTGGGCTGTCTGTCAAAAAGTAGTTCACCATCCTCCGCCTCTCCATCTGCTGTCTCTGTCTCTGCTGTACCGTGTGCCTGCTGCATTAAAAGGATGCTGCTGGTCTGTGTCTCCAGCTCATGTACTGTCTAGATCTGAAATCTGTGTGGGAGACTTGGGCAGAAAAGACCAACTGATAAATAACTGAACTAATCATTTAGGATGCACAGGACATCTCTAAACTGATTTCAGATTTACTTCATATCTTAGACAAGCAAAAAAGCCCCACACATTCCCAATGTTTACTGAAATCCCTTTTGTTCACTAGAACAGGGTTTATCCTTCTAGGTTAGCCCTCGGTTCCCACCTCCTGTTACTCTTCTGGTTGCCCACAGACCGACCTGCCAGCAGCACAAGTGTCCATAGGAGAGCAGTGGCTCATCCTGAGCCCCCAGCTTTTGGGAAACATGTACAAAGCATATGGGCAGCAGAAAGGGAGAGATCCAGCTGCCCCAGGTTGTAGAATCATAAAATCTTTTAGGTTGGAAAAGCCCTTTAAGCCCATCCAGTCCAACCGTGAACCCCACACTGCTCATCCCACTACTGACGCATCTCCCTGAGCACCTCGGCCACACAGCTCTGAAACCCCTCCCGGGGTGGTGACTCCCCCCTCTCTGGGCAGCACATTCCAGTGCCTGGCAGCCCTTCCTGGGAAGAGTATCGCCAAGCCAAGAGGCTGCATTCAAACCCCTTCTAACCCTAACCAACCCGTATCTACATATCCAAGGAAGGATGGGATTCACTTGCTTATTTAAAAGACGCCTTCCTGCTACCTACAACAGCAAGCCACACTACTTCGAGATATTGCCTCATTAAAGACTCTGAACTAATAAAGCACAAAGCAACATGAACCACTGCACTTTGCCATGGGGCCTTGCATGTGGCTGTCATTCTACTCCCCCAGCCTGTGGTCAGACCTTTGGGCCGCCTGCCAGAGCGCAACACCAGCACACAACCCGAAAGGAATCTACTTTTCATCCATTCAATATCCCCCCGAAGCTGAACTCCAAATTGGCAGCAACAGAAGACCGTCAACTAGATTTCCTCAGTACAGCCCTAACTCCCCTCGAAGTCACTTCCCTGTGTGGCACATAGAATCATAGAATCACAGAATGGTTTGGGTTGGAAGGGACCTTAAAGATCATCTAGTTCCAACCCCCCTGCCATGGGCAGGGACACCTTCCACTAGACCAGGTTGCTCAAAGCCACATCCAGCCTGGCCTTGAAGACATCCAGGGATGGGGCATCCACAACATCTCCGGGCAACCTGTTCCAGTGCCTCCCCACCCTCTCACCCTCACCACTTGTGAGGACACAAGTGTATACCCATTTCACCATTTCCTCCTCCCATCAGCTCCAATCTATTGCTTCTTTCCCTCCCCTGTGCGCCTCCAACTTGGCTTCTGATCCACAGCTCTTTTTGTAGGATTACAGAAGAAAAATTGGAAGGAATCATGTTATTTGCACATACCAGCCACGTGCTTTAGTCTGTATTTGAAGGTAATTAACAGCATAGCTGCAGAGAGAATATTAACTTAATCCAGCCTCTTATCTCAACCTCCTTCAAAAGCCAAGGGAGGTGTGGGAAGAGAGAGACAGAACACCACATCTGAGGTGATGAAAGGTGGACTCTTTTGGAAGAGGAGAAGAAAGGGTGGGTTTCTGTAGGCAAGAACTAACTGATCTCCACCAACACATTCCTCTTCTGGACTTACTCATCCAAACCCACCAGCCACCTGGAGCATGTCTGAAAAAATACCATTTCCCCCGATAAAGAAACATATGTTAGACTCAAGAATCAACAATTTGTTTTCCAGTAGCACTCAGACAGCCTCCGCCCCCTCTTTGCATTGCAACCCCTCCCCCTGAGGAAGCATAATTTCTATCATTTCCGGGCGGGGGGAAGATGGGGGACATCTGTGCTCTCCCTGTTCTTGGGGGTGGTACATCTGTTCAGGCTCTGAAGCTGCAAGGCCGTGTCACATGCAGAACAACCAGTTTCGGGAGGAACTGTGTACGGTCACATTCAGGACTGGTCCATTAATTACCTATTAGCAGATTGCCAGTTACAACTGAATCCTGCCAAGGCGTTTTCTTTGGCACCGTCTCTCCTCACAGCTTGCTACATACCCTTCCTATCCCCTTCTGTGCTCCAAACACCAGATTTGCATTTTCTCTTATATT